TATCTATCTATCTATCTATCTATCTATCTATCTATCTATCTATCTATTTATTATATACAATAAACCAATAATACCAATGCTTGTTTAAGGTTATCTAAATATCTGATCTGAAGTATCTTTAAATTCATTTGGTGTGAGCTCACAGTGTGGAAACCACATCTTGACAATGGACTAGCCTGTCTTCAATGGGTTGCCTGTAGGCTTTCGTGCAGAATTTTTTGAACGAGAGTCACATGATTTGTGCTTGAATAGAACAATACAACATCTGCAGTTTATGGTCAAAGGGTTACTTAAACACATTACAGAAGACACATTTCAGCCTTTTCTACATGGTGTCCACATGGGATCCTGCCCACCCGAGGTCTCTTATAATGGGTAATTTATGACATAGCTTCAATCAAATCCTCTTAAAAGCCTAAATGTTGCCGCAATGAGAGCTGTCAACTGAAGTTCCAAGTGCTTTAGTCATTGATTTAATACAGAGATGATTGTGACATCAAGTTGCGAAGCTTACCTGAGGCTATATTTGACCTAATGAGACTGCATGCCTGACGTCTGACGCACACGCACACACCTGTGGTACATCATCTTTGGAGTCCTGTTTCCCACATTTCTCTCTGTACAGGTCCACGCTTATCAAAAACATGAAGAGCCAGAGAAATGTTGAGCGTTAGATGACATCACATCCAATAAAATGCCATTTTCAAAAAAATATGTAATATCTGATCAATGTCAGTGCCATAACTTGTCTCACAGGGCAAGCAGGGACTATGAAACATGACCATCTGCCATGATGAATATGTTTTGTATATCAAACTGTAGTACCATCGTTCCAAAAGAACACTGACTATTTGTTAAATATATACTCCATCTATATGGTAAAATAATTGGATGTTGGTCTGCTTAGTTTCTTTTCCTTTTTCACTTACCGCACATCAATAATACTATGATCTCTGGCCTTCTCTTGAAACATTCCTCTGTAACATTTGTTCTATTTTTTTCTCAGACTTTGGCAGCAGTATTGTAAAATGACTAAAATCCGTGTCTAGAACATGTATGTTAAATGATAAGGGTAAGAGTCAGTCCTGGCCTCAAACAAAAGGGCTTTTGCCCATATTTCGAATGAAGGACCCTTAAATGGACTTATTGTCCATCTTCAAGAATTGGCAATGATATCAGAAAAATACATCAGGCACTGGAGCTGAGTAAGAGTAAAAAGTGTAAGATTCAAAGAAAAAGAAAAAGACTTCATAGTCAGCATTCAGGTTTTCAAGTCAGCAAAAAGATTTTAAAGGAAATTTGCAGGTGAACAAATTTATCCACTTCACAGTTTGTGTTTCTCCTACTGGACTGGAAGCCAACCGATGACAGATTGGCCTCCATGAGATCATTTGTTTTCGGCAACTGTAAGGGTCAGTGGGAATGACGACATTTCTCATAGTTTCTTGGCTGAATCCCAAGGGAT